CTAACTCTAAACATTGTCTGTCCTATTCTCTGGTCTATTTTTAGTTCGCTCGTGAAGTTACATAAGAGTCCCACATTAACAAAGGCAGGGGGTCATGAGAGAGGATTGGTGGGGTCGGAGGGGGTGGAGACGGGACATCTTTAATGGTTTGCAGTGGCGACGGCTCTAGAGGGCTCGGTTTGGAGATAAAGAAACTGAGCAGACAAAAGGCCTAGTGAAAAATAGACGCCCCTGACTGTGTGGGACCATGCCACCCTCCGACCCAGCATATAAATCTCAACTGCAGTAATGAGAACTCGGCTGGAAATGTAAAACAAAAGAGACACTTTGGAGGTGGAGATGCTATAAACGACAGGCAATTTACTGATGTTGTTTTCGGGGAGTCAAAAGCACAGCCTGAGTTGACCCTCTGATCATGTGGTCTAAAAGTGTTTTGGATGGCGGTGTCGCTCGCTCGGTCTAAAACTAAAATATGTTCGCGGGTCTTGGATGGATTGCTAAACAGATTTATGTTCCCCAGACTCTAACTTTGGTGATCCCCCAAGTTTTCCTCTGTCACCATGATGTTGACACTTTTTTTGTTTTTTAGTGAAATCTCCACAGCTATTGGATGGATTATCATGAAACTTGGTATTCACATTCACTGTGCCCAAACGGTAAATTCTAATGACTTTGGTGGTCCTATGACTTTACATCCGCTGCCACAATGAGGTAGACATTTGTGGTCTGAGTGAGATGTCTCCACAACTATTGGACGGCTGGCCATTAAACTTGGTGCATGCATTCATGATCCCCTGAGGATCAACTGCAACGACTTTGGTGATCTCTTAACTCATCTTTAACCATCAGGTCAATACTTGAGTTTGTGAGCAAATACCTGCAAAAAGTGCAATTATGCAAAAGTGGTCTAATGGTGCTACAGAAGAGTATATTGTTGCAGTGGCCACATTACACAAAACATATTGGGTAGAAAAGAATCAAGAGTTTTAAAGCACATGATTGTGGTGGCTTTAAACATGGCAATTGGTTCACCAGAGGCTTCGTCAGCCATATTGCATCATGAGATAAGAATTTGTTTAGTTAGACCCTCTGGCTGTGCCGCAAGGCTTTGCTCAGTATCACAGCAGGGTTGAAGTGAGAGTTTAAAGAGAAAAATATCCTGGTTTGGAAGTCTGGTAGGAAAACACTGGTTTTCTTCTGGAAAATGTCCACAGGGTGACACACTACTTTACGAGGGTCTTTGGAGAATGTTGTAATAGTTCTCACTCCCATCTTTTTTTTTATATTTTGCCGGCAGACCAGGAAACCTTCCTGAATGCTTGTTCTCCTACTTCACATTTTGTGTCTCTCTTAAAGAGTTTTATATCCCAGAACATTTCGTGTTGACAATCAGAGTAAACAAATTTAAGTGTTGCATAAGGTCTTCCTTTCACTTTAACCACTGCCAGTTGAGCTGTACTCAGCCTTTTCTAAGGAGCTTGTTGAAGTGCTTGGCTAGTCAATACTTGTAACACTGGCTCACAGATCTGGTACCCAAGGGCAGAGTCAGGAGGTAGCTGTTGCCATGACAATGTCTACTTTGTATTTGATTATTTCATTTAGGGCAGATTTTGATTCCCAACTATAGCATTAAAACCAATTTTGTAATGATATTTGACCGAACACTGTGATGATCTGTTAAATTCCAGCTCTCATAATTTTCTCAAAACCATCGATGAATTCTAGACAGAATAATCTAAAGGGCAGGAAGTCAGTTTTTCCTATGACAGCCTTGTCTTTGTTTCCTGCAGGTGTTCGAGAAGTTGAAAGACCACATGCTAATCCCTGTGTCCAACATGGAGAAGGTCAAAGTGGACGGAGCCCTCACATGCTGCTCTGTACTCATCAACAAGAAGGCCAACATCTGAGCGTGCCCACCAGGGGGTCTCTCAGTGCATGGTACCAAGCGGAGCCTGTATCCGATCACCAAGGATCCCAATGATTAGCAAAACTATCTTTGTACTTGGAGGAAGGACAGGCAAGTTTGTTGTTGCTGAGGGACAAAGAAAATATAAATCTGAGGGAGTCATCTGGTCTCCCTTTCCCCCAAAAACACTCAAATTACATTAAAACACTCAAATTACATTAAAAGGTCTTTTAAGAGTGTTAATAGTTCAGTTGACATAAAACACAATTAGTTAAAAATTATCTTTGTCTCTAAAATAATTAGGATAATACATTAAAACTAGTGTTACTTTTCTCTTGATTTGGGTATATTCTAATATTTTCTACAAAAATCTGAAATCAAAGCAAAATATTTTGCAGTTTAGATAAGGGGTCAAAAATTCAACCCATGTCAAGCCATATATGATTTTTTGACAGTATTTCTTTCTTAGTAACTAGTCTATAAACGATAAAAAAAGAATTCAGATTAATAACAATTACTAAAAAAAGAAGATCTGATCCCAAATCAGAGAAGTAGAGCCATGTTGAGCCACCCCCCACCCAACTACCGCTCATGTGTAGACCAATCCTCGCTTACTGTTCGATGTTTACAACCCTTTAGAACCACGCAGAACAGATCACTGGACAAACAAAACCAGATAGATCTGTTTGAGAATTTTTGTTGCCATTGAAAAGTAGTCTAACCAACACTTCACTGCAGGTTTATGAATTATATAACTAACACATGATGCAAACAGTTGGTTTATACTGTTTACATGCATCATTTTAACTGTGATTTAATTTTGTGTGTATTTGGTTATATAATGCAATTGCGATTCAGTTTGTAATTTACTTTTCAAGAACTGCCTTTTGGTGCAAGATGGAGGACAAAAATCCTGCTACTGCTGTAAATCTCACTGTCAGAATTGCTATTTAGCAGTTTTTAACTGGTATTTTAAATTCCTGCGGTTTCTTTACAGTTGGTGCTGAGTAAATTTCATCACTGTGCATAATTTCAAAACCACTGACACACTATTGTGTACTTTATTGAAATGCATGACTGTGAATTTTAGGTTGTTTTGTCACTCTGAAAATACAGTTCTTGTAAAGCCTTCTTTAGATACGAGCTTTTGGTATGATCGCAGTGTCATAATTATTTGTTTTTGTGATTGATATTGAAATTACTGCCATTGAGACCTGAGGTGCTCCTGCTTTTCATGACTGTTTCTTGCTAATCATTGCTATTGATCGTGCAGTACTGGATACAATTCTTGACTGATTTCAATAATTGCCACCAGCTAAAAGTAGCCTATTAATTTATTCTACAAGGACCATGGCCATTTTGTGTAAGCAATTTTGTTTAGATCTGTGTGGAGATGCAAATCTGTTCCAACTCTACAGAGGACAAATAACAGCTGCCCGTTGGGAAAAGTACTGGATGTTTTCATTATTATAAGATGAACTAAGCATTCATTTATTCCAACATAACACCTCTTCTCCTTTTAATGTACAATGCCTGTATGGAAAACCAATGAGGTCACTCCTGCTGAATGATTCTGAAGGCACTGTAGTTTTCACACACCATTGGTTCTGCCTGTGTTGTTGATTACACCCGTTCTCTTGTTTTTTTTCCTGTCTGGTCGTTTTTACTCCAAAACTGACTGTAAACATGCTGTGAAGCTGATGTCTGTTCCACTAAATCCAAAAACACCAAATGTGACTGCAGTGAGAGAGTTTGCACTCTGTATGCAGAACAAGCTAACTGCCCCTGTTTGGTGTGTTTCCATGGGTATTCACAGTGGTAGCTGCCAGCAGGAGTTTCGAGCAGTGCTTCTTAACCAGGGGTCCAGGGACCCCTAGGAGTCTTAAAATTAGGTTTCAGGGCGTCCCCAGAGAAATAGGGAGTATTTTAATTCCACTATTATTTGATTCACTAGAAGTTAGCCCAATACGATATGTATAAGAATGACTCTTCTGTCTATAGGTTTCACACTCTTCATTGTTAATCTGCCAATCTACAGATAAAAAATCATGGTATAACCACATTTTACTAGACATGGATTCCTCAGACTAAAATTATATCAAATACGGGTCCACAGCCTGATGTGTATCAATTTGTGGGTCCTATGACCACCTACAAACGGTTGTGGAACCACTTGGTTTACAAGGGTTTTATGAGTGCTGTTTGCGTGGCCTTATCTGGTTGTTGCTAGCTCAATTTATGGGGTCCTTCGACACCTAAAAGGTTGCCTCGAAAACCCACTGGTTTAAAGCGTTCCTTCACTGGAGTGCTGTTTTTGATGGCCTTATTCTGTGTTGTAGCTCAATTTATGTTTGAGGCCTGTAGACATGTACACTGTACATACACTACACTGTACACGTTTAAGCCCGACACATCTGAAACCATGTTGTTTCTCAGTGTGATTGTAAGTGAAAGTTGAGTAAATGACATCAGGAGGTGATTCAACCTCCCTCTATAGACGTTTGTGTATGGACAAGCGGGCAGTGATGATGAAACATGGAAAGAATTCCTGTTGGGAGGAGAGGCTTGTACACCAGTAAACACTGACTCTCTTAAACTTTCTGTGTCTTTCTCTTGACTGTCTCACTCTCAGCACTCACTTTCTCCCACCCTCTGCTATTGCCTCATAGGCGATCTGGGCTAATTTATGGCTATGATATCATACAGTCTGGCGAACACTGTAGATGTGATGGCCTGCCGTTAAAAGTGTGACACTAGTAGTATATTTTACAGAAGGCAGCTGGCTGGGTGCAGGGTGATAGCATAGTTGCAGAGCACCCAGTTCTGATTCTCACGCAGTTACTCCAGAAGGCTGAGCCAGGCAGGACCAGTCATACACTGTATGATTAGTACAATGTCAAACATTGGATTTTACACAAGTAAAGTCATTTCATCTAAAATTGTCATCAAATCGCTTGTACAGCTCTGGGGCACCATAACCTTTTCCTATCTCTGATTTAAAATCAGAAAACATTTAATACATACTTGGCTCTTGGCTGGCAAGGCTGGATGTGAGTAACGGCTCCTGAAAAAGTGTGCTGACTTTGTTGAAGCCTTTTTTATCCTCTTACTAATCCCCTCACTCATCCCAGTAATCACTGATGTTGTGTTTCCAACTCAGGTCTCTTGGTTTTCATACAAGTTGTGAGTAATGATTATTTGAGTCATCTTAAATTGAGCCTTTCGTCTACTTTGTGTAATAAATTAACATCTAGCATTCAACTGTGGTGTGCATTTTAATTCATATTTAGTTTAACATATTGACAACATATTTACAGGTATAACCCTCAATAGATAATGAGGCTTCATCAAGTGAGATAAACAACAAACCTGAATCTGGGCCAAAATCTGTTTCATTTTGAGTGGTGTACATTAACTAGTGGTGTCTCAGTGAGGACTTGCTCTGACAACACAGAGACAACCCATCTCTACCCGTTGATCTCTGCTACCACCTAGTGACACAAAAAATCTTAAGACGGACAAAAACAAGGTTTGTATCTAGGAACACAAAACAGTGCAGCTGCTGTTTGGTTGGAAGCAATGAAAGCTGCTGTCCAGCAAGCTGCAGAGTGTCTCCTATGTTATGGTTGAGTTCACAAGAAATGCAAATGGGAGAAAAACAGCTCAATGTTTATTGGCAAGAATACAAACCCTCATGTTACAATGTAATGCACGATGAACTAAAAGCTTATCTCGGCTTTTACAGTTTTGTTTTTTTTAGTTTTGGTTACATGTCACATAAATGTCCTCCAAAACTTTTTAGACTTTTTACCCACAAGAAATATGTACAATATACATGAGTTAATGAGTATATAACAATAAACAATGGCAAGGCAAAGGAAAAAAAAATAAGAAAATATACAAAGGAAGTGACATTCTAATGCTTAATAAAAAGAAATGTGCAAATCTAAACTGAACCCTTGTGGAATAGTCCCAATCCCTAATGGCACCTTCTTTTTTACATTGTTTTTCTTCTTTTTTTTTTTTAAAAAACTTTTCTTATCCAAGGTATTCTAAGCATACAGCAGTACCAGATATTGTTAACAGTGTTCTTATACAGTTTTCTTAACCACTAAAAACACAGTGTGGTCTTTTCTTGCAGTCTCATGAAGTATCTTGTGATCTACTCTTCCCTCTGGTGGACATAAAAAGATACAGCAATAGATAAACTAATATATAATATATCATGCCCAAATATCTTCAACAGCATTTGAGCCAGATAGATATAGATATTAGATAATAGATATTCTTGAAATCTAATCTAATCTTCAAATCTTAATGGCATTTCAGCTACAAAAGACTGCATCAAGAGCCATAATCAAAAATAACCCCCCCATTACACTATGAACACATGGTTTTTATTGCTATCAAAGCTTTATCCACAGCAGGAGCAATGCAGTGAACTTGGATGTGTACATCTATGAATTTACAGTGAGTTAATGTATCAAAAAGAGAGTTGCATGTTATACAACAAATATGCACCAGTGGAAACAAAGTACATTTAGCTACAGGGGAAATTGGTATAAAGGTTGCCTGGCTCCCTTGCAGCAGTGACCTTGCAGTCGAATTTCTCTGCAGACTTAGCCAGAAGTAAGTAGGAATGGTTGAGGAAGTCGGTGCCTGAGCAGGGTGGAGTACAGACTGAGCCATTAGTGCAGGAAGAGTGACATTTTTTGATGAGCTCTTCCTTCACCGGTGGGTCTTCTTTCTCTCCAACCTGCTCGTAGACATACATGTTCCCTTTTGGGCAAAGGATGACACTGTCTCTGTTCAGAGTCACATAGTCTGGAAAGTGTCCAGTTCCAGGACTTCCATCTACCTGTTCTGTGCTGGAGAAGCTTCTGCCTGGTGACAGGAGCGGGGTGGAAGTCTCTGATGGCTTCCCCAATCCTGAAACCTCATCATCATGAGGAGAGATTATCTCCAGCACAGATGAAGTGGTTTCCTCAAAGCACTGCTTTGCTGTTGATGGAGGATCCTGTAGTATAAACACAAAGTAATTCATTTTTAACACCTGGGGACACTGAGTTGAGTGTAAACTAACTTGGTTGTATCACTCACGATTTATATTTTGTTATTACTTGTTTTATCTATCTATCTATATGCACAATTCTGTGGTAAAACAATTTACCCATCTCGGCCCATTGAGCTCTGTCAGAAAGCCTTGTAGGACTTTGTCAAGGTTGGGCACTGGTGGCCAAATGTACAGCTTGAGCTCACTATAAAAATGAACATGAAAATATATTTATTTTTAGACAAATTCATTAAAAGAATTGTGTAAAAGTTTAGTGCACAAAGTAGAGTAGTTAGTGATTTGAAATGACTTTTAGAATACAAAACTGTGTTAAAGGGGGTTATACAGTACAAATTGATATCCATTTACAATGATGGATGGAGGTAACATATTTTATTTTTTCACAAGATTCTGTTTCTCTGTATATTTCTAGGAAGTGGAGTCTGATTAAAATCTGAATGAGTTGGTAAAAGGTCCTACCTGAGACACGTGGGAAACAAGGCGATGAGGATAATAACCATTATCAGCATCAAGACAGGGATACACAGCATGAGCCATATGCCTGTGAAGGTTATTTATATTGCATTAAGGTTTGAATGGTGTCCAATTGTTACTCTAAGTAAATTAACCTATAAGAACTGCATTCGATAGGTCTACAATATTTATATTTTAATGTAGTGAGACATAGCAGTGCATTTCATACAGCTACTAATTGCTAATTTTTATCACACAGCTAAACTTGAATAAATTAAATGTTAAAGTTCTTACATAATAACAGTAGAGTACGACAGCTGCATTGCATTTAGTGCAATTTTACAATGTTTTGATTGTAATTTTTTTTACAAATCAATGTGGATTACTGTATAAATAAATGGGTTGTACACTGACTTTTGTCAGTGTGAACTTACCACTGTCAGTGGGGGTGTCACCAGTAAGCACATCTGACCAGTCACTCCAGTAAATGGAGCTGATAAGTTTAGCTCTGCACTTAACGTTGTACTGTCTGCCCGTTGGAACCTCTAGACAAGTGCCACTCTGATTCTTCAGGGATACCATCTGGTGACAGAAGGATTCATTTGACATTCGGTGTTGAGAACATTAAATGGGAATCTTAGTGAAGATGTACTTGAAATATATTCACATTCCCTCACTCAAAACTCAAAACTGGTTTCATTCCCTACTGTTGCATTTGCACTAAATATTTGTTGCATATTCTCATGATTTTGCAAGCAATTTTCTTGCAACATCCAGCGTTAAACCAATATAATGGATCATCTTCTCACTGTATGTAGAATTGAAAGTTACTTCTTTGCTGCCATCTGGTGGTAATATAAAGAACACATAATATCAGAACACACCACAAAAAAGACACAAAGTTTCTCAGAAACCAAAAACCCTAACATGGCCCGAGAGTATCTTAACCATTAAAAAAAAAGAAAAGAAAAACATGCAGTTGTGGCTGTAAATGACTTCTTACCATCCATGTTTCCTCCCCTCTGATCTGGTAGCCAACTTCATACTGCAGGTGAGCCGACAGAGACGGAAGTGGAGCTTTCCATTCCAAGCACAACTTATTTTTCTTCAGTGTTCCTCTGAGATGCCTTGGTGGAGATGTTTTGACTAAAAACAAACAGCACACTTAATTTGTCAAAACACAAAGCCGTGGATGCACACTTTTTCTGAGGCCTGATGGGGAAAAAATAAGAAGTAGCAGTAACTGATTAATTAAAGTCTGCTGCACATAGTGTATGTAAACTGGAGCTTAGCTACCTTGATCCAGCCTGCAGCTGTCTAGGTGAGCTAACTTGCTAAATTCCATGGTTATGAAAAAAATAAAAGCTTGTTAAATATATATTTGAGCAAATCAGATTTTGGATTCTGGATTTTTTTTATATTCCTAGGGTTTCTTTTTGGGGCAACTGCATAGAGTCCAACATCAGCCTGTGAAGTAGCTTTTCCTTTGACTAAAACTGTACTAACAAAGCAAGAAGGAACAAAAATCACTCACTGCTGTTGTTGAGCATGAACTCTGGACTATAGAAGGTTCTGCTGAGTAGAGTTCTGCTGAGTGGAGTGCTGCTGAGCTTGACCCTGACTTTACTGGACTTATCTCCTTGGAAACGGCAAAGGTCAGTCATGTCCCTGTCAGGGAGACACTCGGTCCACTCTGTCCAGCCCAAAGTTTCACTGTCAGAGTGATGGTATTATCATTTCAAATCAAAGCCATCAGTTTAGGGGGTGTCACCCAAAGAACTAAACATATTTAATGTTGTGTGTCTAGTGTTTCCTGCGGAGGATGTTATCAAAAACAACTTGGTATTCCACTCAAACACTCTGTGACATGATCACAGAAAGATCTGAGGACTTTAATCAACCAGTGGTGAAATGTAGTAAGAATGTAATGTACCTGAGACCCATCTTGTAGAAAAGTTTCTCTTCATTATATCTGCTCCCATTCCACTGACAGGTGAGGGTTTGCAGGTCAGAGGTGTAGCACGTTAGTGAAATATCATCTGAAAAAGAGAAAATATTTCTCAGTCAAGTATTGCATCTGTGACAGAAGCGGTCATGGGATGAGATGTGAGTTAGTTATACACTCATACATTTCTCACTCTTGTCATTTGGACACACCTGCACTTTGGGGAACCATGGCTCGCATAGGGTGTGACCAGCTGCTCCAGTGTCCTGCACCTAAATTGCTGGCACGTTTGACCCTGAGCTGGATCTTAACCTCCTCCCCTGGTACCAGAGAGTCTAGTATGTAGTAGTCCTCCTTTGGCTGAAGAAATCACAAACATCATAGATTTTACAATATTATTCAGATTTTGTTTCATTCAACTTTTTTTCACATGCTGTAATTACCAAAGCAGCCCTACAGGTGAACGAATAATAATAATAATAATAATAATAATAATAATAATAATAATATAATGGAAATACAAAGAAATAGAAATAAACATAAAAATAAAAAATATTATTTATTTTTTTTGGTCTTGGCACACATTAAAGTCACTGTAAAATAATTTTTAAAATGATCCCTTTTTCCCCACTATGATTTGCTGTTAGTCTTAAACCTTGGGCCATCACAAGTTGATAACAATACTTTGGGGGTTTGATCTCACAGGGCTCAGAACCCCTTTTGTGGGGCACGTTTCTGTAAATGATGTATATGAAAGTACTAAAATTGCATAGTAATAGAAGTAGCCTATGAAAACTGAACTATCCTGAAACTAAGGGGAAAGTCGCTGGTGCCATTCTGATGAAATATATCACCTACAAAATCCCCCAAAAGACAAAAAAATGACTGTCCGCCTGTCAAATCTAATCATGGTGAATATCACTGCCTCGCTCATATAGGCTATAAAAACCTTACCACGTTCATAAACTTCAATTTGAGCCCAAGATAAACTTTATACAGTACATGTATATATAGTACATAAGGTAACTGCAATTTCTGACACTGTGCAGTGATACACATAGGCCATCAGTACAACAGGATGTGTGATATGATTATAGATGTAGATTATAAATCTAACTAGAGGTTGCTCTACTTTTTGTTTTAGGTTTGGAGTATTAATTTGTTTCATAATTTAGTATTAAATCATTAAATAGAAACTCTCAATTTAAAATCTCTCAACACCCCCAACTCTGACTGACTTGAGAACAAGTAATGCTTTATTTCTTTTTTTTTTATTTATTATTTTACAAACAATATTATTTATATAATTGTGACTTGTCTGATCATATTTTACTACCTTTTGTTAGTTGTCATCATACTAACTCGTATGCTAGGCATACCAATACTTAGATTATATAAAAACTGCCTTTATGCTCACACGCAATATATGTGAGTTTGACTTTGGCAGTCATTTTAGAAGAGTTGTGTGTACCTCTTTTATCTTCTCTCCCAGCCCCTTGGAGGAGTATTGAATCCGATAGCTCACATAATTTTTCCAGTATCGCGATTTGTTTGAGGTCCATGAAACCCGCAGCTGTCCTGCTTGGTCATTATGGTGTACGGACACATTGAAGGGGGGGTCCAGGAGAACTAGAGACAAAATAAGGACAAAAAACATTACAGAATCCACTGGTGAAAATATTTCACTGGTGTTTAGGCAACAGGTGAACCCTGGCTTTCATGACCTTTTTGACAGGAGACCCAAAGACCCAGGACACACTGGAGGACTTAAGTCTTCTGTCTTGGGGATACACATGATCAACTTGCCCTGCTTGTTAAGCTGGCAGCTTTTCATTTAGCTAACATGCAGAGGCTGATACACATACCGATTTTAGAGTGGAAAATTCACTGATTACCGGTATGGTGGCCGATAAAGTGAATCTCTGAGCTGGAATGAAAAATAGACCTTTTCTTTTTGGGTTGTGCAGTAATATATATAAAGATACTTTTTAGAGGATGCTTTCTCAAACAAATAACTTTATTTGAGAATATAAAGTTAAACATTCTTTAACATATTAAATCATTTAACACATACATTGTGTCAATTCTTGTTGACGTTGCCGAGAGTTGCTTATTCTCTCTTATTCTGTGCTGCTTGACACAGTATTGTAAATCGAGAAACAAATATATTACCAGAAGCATTATTTTCTGCATTATATTACAGAAAAAAAACAGCTTTCATACATGACCCTTTTGCGGGTTAACTGCTTTCCCTTCCTTGGACCACTGGTACTGACCACTGCAGACCGGGAACACCTCACAAGAGAAGCAGTTTTGGAGATGCTCTGACCCAGTGGTCTAGCCATCACAATTTGGTCCTTGTCGAAGTCACTCAAATCCTCACACTGCCCATTTTTCCTTCTTCTAACACATCAACTTTGAGACAGAAATGTTCACAATGATTGCTGCATAATATATACCATCCACTGACAGGTGCCATGATAACCAGATGTTCATTCACTTCACCTATCAGTGGTCATAATGTTATGTCTGATCGGTGTATGTGGGAGGCTGGGGAAAGTGGAACCACAATGATGAGGAGAGAAGATGTTAAGAAAGTTAAATAAGAAGTGAAGTTTGCTGTGTAAATGTGTGTTATAGCTGGGGTGAATACTGTCTCTTTTGTTTGATTCCCTCTTGGTCCAAAAGGACAGATGTTGTAGTCTTGCATAAGTTTAATAGGCAGTGGTCAATGTTGAGGAGGTGGCTAAAATTCGCTGAGCTTTTTCTCAGGGATGGGATGGGAAGCTGTATGGAATAGGGGCTGAGATTTATACAGGAATTATATATATTTTATGTACAGAAAAAAGACATTGTGACAGACAAGGAATCAATCAATTTCCATTCCTCCTTTGTTGAGTAAGTAAATATTGTGAAAACAAATGTCTTACAGTTGTCCTCCACACTGACGTCCCGTTCGTAGAGGGTGGTGTTGGTGTTGCGCTCCACCACTTTAAGGTGTATACCCACAAACAGAAGAACATCTGAGCTAGGAAATGAGCAGATGTGGAGGAAAGTGCCCTCTTCTGTTCTCTGGACAGACATGCTGCACCTTTCCTCTCTGTGCAGTGACAAACACAATGTTTGGACATTTTGGAATACATTAATACATCAATCAAACTTTATTTGAATAGCATCTTTCACCCAGGTAAGTGCAGTTTAGGGTAACTAATGATATATGTGTAAGGTTCAAAAGTAAACACCAAAGGAGAAATAAAATAATTAAAAATAATAATAATTAACATAAGACAAGTGCTTGGTTGATATGGGTTTTTGTGTGTTTCCCCTAAACCTGTAGTCCTATGGAATACAGGGTGGAGAAGCCACTATAGGATATATAGGATAGGATACTCAAAGTACACATGGAAAAACTGAAGAAAAGTACTGTTTAAATGATTTGAAACTCTCTGCAGTTCCTTAATATATAAAAACCCAATGCATTTATTGTGTATAACATACGTCCGAATTCTGTAGAACAAATCATAGGTCATTTTGTCTGCAGTCTCAAAGAAGCAGGTGAAATCCTTTTCTGTGCGGGTGAAACATTTGGGATCCGGCACATCCTTCAAGAGCCTAATATCTGCTCCAGAAATGACAAACATAACACATGAGCACTCTTGGAATAAGTCATGTCCCCCAAATTCTTGTTAGATGTTAACTTGTGGGAATAAGATATTTCATTGTGGCAACAAGTTAGTGTCATAGAGTAAAATCTTTCTGTTGGGAAAAAAATGTTGTCACCTTGTGCTAACTTGTTTTGAAGGAACAAGACCCATTCAGTTCCGGGACAAGTGATACAGATCTTTGTGGCACAACATATCTTGTTCCCACAAGATAAGGTTTGCACAAGATGATAGTCTCAGGACAAAATAGTTGGTGGTTGCTACAACAACAATGTAGCAACTCATGTAAAATAACTTCTACCTACTGTACAACTTATTAGCCTGTTCTCACAGCATACATATACAGTATATTTGGGGATTTGAGGGGCTTTGCATCATATACGTAACAGTCAAAATTTCCAGTGGAAATAAACACTAAATGAGAAAAATATAGCTGTTAACTGTACTGCATTCAAATGGATTTAAATTGTACTTCAACTGTACAAAAATAAATTATCCTTAAGCCCCTACCTTCCCTTGAGAGAAGATTGACAGTCCCATTCTTGCAATGTATCCCAGGCACAATCCATACGCTAATAAGGAGTATCTCCCACCTGCAGAGCGAATTCATGGTAGATGTCGGTATTATGAAGAATTAGATATGCTAAACCACTATGGCACTTAAGCTAACACAACATGTGCTTTTGTATGTGTATTGTGGTTGTCTCTTATGTAGGGTTTTGAGTGTGCATGGGTGAGGGTTGAGCAGTGCTGAGGGGTTGGCCCAATGTGTCTAAAGATGTGCTTAGAATAGGAAGTCTAAGTAGGAAGCTTTGTGCACAGTGGAAGTAAGCACCAAAAAGGCAGTTTGGCAGGAGTTAATGAGAGTAAATATTGAATAAGTGAATAACACTGATTATCTG